GATAGGAGGTTGGTCGGATCCCAGAGTCGGTCTGGACGACGTGGAGAAGAGAAAATTCTTGACCCTACCTGGACTAGAACTCCGACCAAACAGTCGTCCAGCCCGTAGCCAGTAGCTATACCGACTACGCTATCCCTGCTCATATATATATATATATACTGTATGGTTTACAGGGTATGTAGCGGGCATGGAGAATACGAAAAATGCATACAAAATTTCGGTCGTAAATCCTCAGCTAAAGAGATCACTCGAAGAACCTATACGTATATGAGAGGTTAAAATTTAAATAATAGTTAAGGGAGTAACACACAACGACTGGATTGATTTGAATTAGGATAGTGCCCAGTGTCGGATTCTTATGAACACGGCAATGAACATTCAACTTCTTGACCGTCTGAGAAAGTATCTTCTTTTCAATGAGGATACCGCTCATGCAGTTAGCTATATTCATCGTAAAATAGCTACATATTCCCGGGATTGTAGCGTCTTACTTCGTACAACAAATGTGATGTTTTCTGTGCAGATGTATCTTCGTTTTCTGTGTCCTCATCCTTCTGGTCAGAGCTGAAATAGCTCTCGGATTTACCGAGTACTTGGACTTTGTCCAACGGCCGTTGTTCTAAAAACTATAGAGCACAACGTTTCGGAAACTGTAACTGTTTCCATTCTCAGGTGAGGGGAGAGATACGTATTCTGTTCGGTTCCTTAGAAAGAGCTAATCTCATTCGCTGGACGATGGAGAAAGTCCAAGAAAACCAATAATTCCGAGTGTCATAGAGCATCGTCAGAACCCTTTACAATCTATTGGACATAGCTCATTTTTGTATTTAACTTTCAAATCTGTCTATCATCATCATCATCAGTAATCTGTCAGACGACAGGTCCACAGTCTCTTCCAAAACAATTCCTCCACTTAATGCGATCTAGAGCTTTCTCTTTCAAATGACAGTATCCTCTTCTGTCCCCAAGGTCATCCAGCATCTTCTTACGTCTTCTTCCTCGTCTTCTGGGCACTTCTATCCGCCCCTCTGTCTTTCATTCAATAACTTCTTTTAGAAGGCAGTTTCTGCGTAAAACATGACCGATCCAATTAGCCTTCCGTTTTCTTGTTTCATATAAGATATTCCTCTGCTCACTGACTCTAATTAACACTTCTTCATTTCTCACATAATCGGTCCAACTGATCTTCTCCATCCTTCTCTAACACCACATTTCGAAACTTTCCAGATGTTTCTGATCTACTGCCCTAAGTGTCCATGTTTCAGCCCCATACAGAGCTATGCTCCAAATGTAGCATTTCACTAGTTTCTTCCTCAAATTTAAGTCCAATTTGCTGGTAAAAAGATTCTTCTTCTTGCTAAATGCAGCTTTTGCCATGGCAATCCTGGATTTAATTTCACTAGTGTACCTTCCATCATCTGTTAAATCTGTCTATATAGGACTCTTAATACTTCACTATCAACCTCATGCGACTGGTTTCTTCAAACGTATATCTAGCTGGTAATTCAATCTTTATTGGTGCAAAATGCAAATTTATTGAAGTTAACAAAGGTACTGTGGAGATTATTTGTTAGTACCTATTGGTTTTCTGAGTAAGGACCATTTTCTCTGGATATTAACTGAGTTAATTTCATAATAAATATGTGGTGTGTCCTCTGAAACGTGGAGACAAGACCACTTTATATGTTTTTCAGACAACTTTCGCCTTTTAAATGATTAAGGCTTTATACTACTAGATCAAGCAAGAATTATACTCTCAGTAATGCTTTGCCGATTATTCTAACTTAATGGAGTTGAGTCCTTCTCGAGAAGCCGCCAATTGTACAGCTACTCATGATATTCTTAGCATTTTACGGAACTCGAAGGTTCATTACCGTGTTCACAAGAGCTCTCTACTGATCCCTATGCTGAGCCAGATCAGTCCAATCCATCCATCCTTTCTCTCTAACATCTAAATTAATATTGTCCACACACCAACTTCTTGTTCTTAGTGATCTCTTTCATTCTGGCTCTCACATCAGTATCTTATATGCATTCTTCTCCGAATTCGTGCTACATTCCCTGCCCATTTGCCGAGTTTTCATTAAATAAAAATAAATATATAAACTTACCTCAAAATCAACATTAATTCTAGCAATGTCGATTCTAACGACAGATTATGCCTACAGCGTAAGTCGCGCTTAAGTAAGTAAAGTAAAGGTATCCCTGTAACAGGCCGTGGAGGCCCATAGGTTTGTGACATGTTGAGGTTCCCACATTTTCTAGAAAATCGGCTCATAGATAGCGGCAGACTTGTTAGCCCTACGCGCCCTACCCCCAAGAATATTCCTGGTACTCATTTCCGTTAGAGTCTGAGTCGACCCCAGGGCCATAGTGCGGCTGGAAGGATTAGGTCAATTGAAAAAAATTCAATGACCTCATCGGGACTTTAACCCGCGACCTTCCGGCTTGTAGCATAGTGCCTCAACCTACTGCGCTACTGCGTGACCCCGTTGCACTTATATCATTTAGATGAATGCAGACATCAACTCCGAAACAAGAGCTGCGAATTATATTATCTCCGCATCGCTGCTTCCGCCCAACTGAATGTGTAATGTTGGATATATAGACACTTTAAATGGAAGGAAATAAGAGGCCAGGAACTGAAGGACGTGTAAAATATAAGGCAAATAGAAAATAACTGACATTTAGTTTTCGTTAAATTTTAATAAAATGTACATCAGAAAAGTTACACAAAAATAAAATGTTTTAAAGCTGTCTTAATAAATAAGGCACAAAAACACAGACTTTATATTTTGCATTATTTTACCTTGTGCAGAAACTTGTATTAGCAACAGACAGTTCAACTATATCAAAAGTATAAATTGGAATCGAAGCCATCGCGAAGATGCTGACAAGAGGCCAGTCGAGTTAATCATGTGTTCATTGTTGCTTCTGGGTTCCTGTTAGTTTGTAACGCATGCGATATAAAAGGTCTTGCAGTAATATTTGTTTACAAACGTCTTCGTTAATAATAAAATGAGTGTGTCATCATGCCATGTTGTTTCCAACGTGAGTGAATGGTGAGCAGTCAAGGTCAGGAGAAAGGAACTCACTCTTGTATGAGGAGGAACAGTGTCGAATTCTTCAAGACGGCTGGATGTCACATTTTTAATATTGTTTAAAGACATTTTTTGTCTTAAATTTCCGCTGCTCGTGTCTAATGTATAATATTCTGGTTTTCTTCTAAATAATTCAGCTACAGTGTTCTCCAAATCGCTAGAAAGAGTTAAACAAACAACGGGTTCGAAACCCGAAAGCCAGCTTTGTAGAGTGTGGAATGCGAAATACAACTTTAAAACGTATCACTAACACTCAAGCACGTTACCTATTACAAAAAGAGTGATTAAAAGTCAAAGTTGTCCCTGTGCCTAATTAATTAAGCACTACGCCATGAAGGCGTCGGAGAGTGGATGTATAGATCCCATTTTCTTGACCTCGGCACTAGTTGGAGGTGAGTGGTCAATTTCACGCATCGGCCCCTTTACCCCCTAGGAAAAGCCACCAGTATCCATTGTATAGGAGGTTGGGTGGACCACAGAGCCTGTCTAGGCGGCATGGAGAAGAGAAAATTCTTTCCCCACCGGGACTCGAACTCCGAATCCTCCGTTCTCCAGCCCGTAGCAAATCACTATAACGAGTGAGCTATCCCGGCTCCTAATTACAAAAAGAGTGATTGAATTAGCTTATTTATTTGTTGTTTACTGAACGTTGCCAATAACGTGGTATGATAGGATGACTGAAGAAAGAATTGGAAAGCATTCAGATGGAGGCGGCAATGACGTAATTGTAGGTAGGCCTGCTCTCCTGCCTTCTCGGTATTTGTCGGAGGGACTGAGGAAAATAAAACGATAAACTTTATTTAATAATCGGTTTCCTGGCCAAGATTTGAATCCTGCATGTCTCGAATGCTACTCACTCGAAAATGTCTGGTGAATTATTCGTAGTTTATTGCATATAATTTTTTAAGTAAATTGTTCAGCATTTTGGATTTGAGGTTCTTACAAAAGTGGTTATGAAAAAAATATCTTCTGAGATATAACGCCGTGTAATCAGTTGAAGAATAAGCCAAGCATGAAACCAGCGTGAAAAAAGTAATAATCAGAGCTCCTCTAACCTGAAGTCGGTTAACTTACAGAGGACTACATTGCGTCGTATAAGAGAAGCTAGAACTTTTAACACTCAGTGTACCTGTATGTACATTGGACCTGAAGCAAAGTTGGTAATGTTGTGTTGCAATTTAGGCCTAGTAGGATAAGAAAAGAAGCTTCCTACTTTCAAAGCGTAACAGGGGAACAAATTCAAGCCAATATTTCTATTACCAATAGAAAAATTGTGAATCTGAGTTCTTCAACGAAGGAGGCCCAAGAACACAAGTGACCACCACTCTCCTGTACGGCTTAAGTCCTCAACATGGCAACGCTATTCCTCACACGAGTCACAATCGCGCAACATACGCACATAAAACAACTATTTCTTCAATATCGTTCATAAGAACGTCCTTAGGGAAACAAATGAATGATACTATAGTGTTGTGTGATCCGAGTCCACTTTTGTATCAGTACATACGGGAGACTGTCCTTCATTCCAGCCTCTCTTAGCACGTGGCTGGCTGCTTAGGTTCCAGTCATTCAGCTCTTCGGAAGGCTAAGAGCTAAGCGGGTTACTTGGTGGTTTAGAGCAACCATTCTTGTTCCGTCATAATAAAATAATTGAGTGTTAGGATGTAAGATTTGAGGTTTCCACTATGAAGAAAGCAGTCTTCTGAGATGTGGTACCGTGTAGATGTGGTGTTAACCAACGTTTCGGAGGAAATTATCGCCTCCATCTTCAGGGTAGAAGAAATAATAAGAAATCCTTAAGCGAAGAGACCGTGAGACTGGGTTTGCTTGTACCGGTTCTCACGGTCTCTTCGCTTGCGGATTTCTTATTTTTCCTTCTACCCTGAAGATGGAGGCGATACTTTCCTCCAAAACGTCGGCTAACACCACATCTATACGATGCCACATCTCAGAAGACTGCTTTCTTCGAGTGTTAGGATATTTTCCGTGGTCTTTACGTCACATCCTGCCTAAATCCGCGTCTAAGCAATTCATAAATCTTTAAGAAATACTTTAATGAATTTTGACCATATTAAAAAAATGATTTAATAAGTTAGTAACAAAATAACTTTAGGTTGTGTTGCTACGTCAAAGAAAGATGCAGGTATATTCGTCAAAGAAAATGAACTGCAATGCCGACGTGAATAAGTTCCTTTTCCTCAATACTCATTCGGTACATATAGAGAGTAGAACGATTTTCCGCAAAATAATATTTATTAAACAGAACTTACATTAGAGCATTAACTGCTTAATTTTGTGCTAACATTAAACCTCTGTTATACTCGTAATGCTCGGGATTCAGAAGTTTCCTGTCTTGATTGCCTAATCACCCTGTCTTCAGCAAAGCATGAGAAGCGTTAACAGCCACAAGGCCAATTTCTCTCGGTTCCTACGATTCATTCTGAAAATATAGACCTCCGGCACTGTGGGTTCTTTCGAAATTATACATACCGTTGTGCAATAAGAAACAGTGCCTACTGCAGCCTCCACTACTAGCGACAAGTGTTGATTGCCGTCTTGAAACTGCAAGTGTCACATGTTACCTCGCAGCACCATTTAAAGCGACATCTACAGTTCGTCTTCTGGCGGACCTGACGTGTATCGTAACCACGGCCACAGCACAACAGCTCACATCCTTCCACACCAGGGGAAGTCGCATTGCACTGGCGTCCTTGCGTCCCCAGGGAACCTGTTTTTCGATTCGGTTTGCAAAAATCGGGAGAGTCTTCGGAGTAGACGAGGTCACCGCGGTCTGGAGGCTTTATGGTGTCGCCTTCGGGTATGAAACTGCGGCCGTCGTTGCTCGGGATAACTTTAGCTGCACCGTCGAACCGCTCCTTGAGCCGGTTACCTACGTCACGGAAAGGAGGCATCTTGCGCCAGCAAGTGCGCATTGCGCAGGATCCGGAGAGGCCATGGCACTTGCAGTCCGTCCTCATGAAATTCTTCACTGCCTGTAACAGCAAGAACTGAATTTGTAATGTACTGAACAAGACGGCAGATGTTTTGGGGGCACGGGGTGGGAGGGAGTCATGTCTTCTGAACTCAAGAAAGCGTTTCGGATGGGGAATAACTGCAAACCAGGAAACATATATGAAATATTATGTTGGAATATTTTACAATCAATCATGGAACGAAGAGCATTTAACGGTAGCATATAAATTCAGTAGTTTTCAGAAGCTGAGAAAGCTACAGCCTTGGAAGCCGTTACCGGGCGACAACCGGTGAAGATACAGCAGAACAGAAAAATTAGTGCGTGCTGCAAGTGAATTGTAGAGAGTGTGAATTACAAATAACGCTGTAGTTAGTTGTAGTTGTGTGTGCAATAAATTTGATTACAAATCCAAACCCCGTCTATAGTCACACTCAGTCACTTGACGATATAGTCCCCGTTTATTCTGTCATTGGGAAAATCAAGAACTGATTTGTCAGTAGGCCCAAGTGTGTGAAATTCTTCCTCTAACTTCATCTCACTACTTCCCCCTATATTCGACTTTGAATATTCATTATCTGGTGCATTCTGCAAAAATTTTAAACTTTCTTTTTTCGTTTAAGAGCAGAGAAGAAAAGAAGTTTGTGGGCATCCGGGTAAAATGGCTTATACTCAATGATGTCACCAAGCGGTTTCGAAACCGGTTAGGTAGAACCTGTTGTTAAAATTCAGTAAACCACAGAACCAGTTAAGAATTTTTCAAACTCTGGAGGTGAACTGTAATGTAGAATTCAGGTCAAGGGCATGGCAAATTCGGACTCTGGCAGTCCCATCCAGGAACTCGGCCCAATGTTTTTTTTTATTGCTAGTGGGGTGGAACTAAGTCCCTTGTACTGAGGCCACTTCTGGCCTATTGTACCAGCCCCAGATGATAGGTGAAGGTGATTGTTGAGCAAGTGGTGGAATGAAGATTAGCAGGGGAAACCGAAGTACTCGGAGAAATCCTGCCCAAGCGCCACTTTATCCACCACAAATCCCACTTGACCAGACTCGGGATCGAACCCGGGCCGTCGCGGTGGGAAGCCAGCGACTAACCGCTTGAGCTATGGCGCTGCTCGGCCCAACGTTACTTGCCTAAGTGGATAAAGTATGGAATGCAACTACATCTCTTTCTTTTACAGCCGCAAGGAGATCTGGAGAACTTTGAAATAAACTTATAAAGGTTAGGACAGTCTGTATTATCATTGCTCTGCTCATGTTTTGGTGACAGGGAGTCTATACAGTAAAATTACATTTAATAATACTTCGAAGAAATTTTCAGTCACCTACTGACCCATATTATTTTAGTATAAAGAGGGGTACAAACTATTTAAAATTGTAAACAGAAAATTAATCAGCAAACATATCATCACCTATTACATTTTGCTGTAAGAACACATATACGTATAGTCGTCTTCAGGACTATACCTATGGCGTAGATAAATTTACTACAGAACATGAAAAAGGCTTAGACTTAAATTGACTCTGTCATTGTTGTTTCCGGGGGCACGCAGTAACGTAGTTTGTTGAGGCACTACGCTACAAGTCGGAATGTCGCGGGTTAAAGTCCCGATGAGGTCATTGGATTTGTATCAATTGACCTAATCCTTCCGGCCGCACTATGACCCTGGGGCCGACTCAGCCTCTAACAGAAATGAGTACCAGGAATTAATTAAATAATTCTCCTGGGGAGTAAAGCGCGGCCGACGCGTAAGGCTGACAACCTTACCATACCTCAACGTCTCACAACCCTATGGGCCTTCACGGCCTGTTACAGGGACAGCTTTACTTTTTTTACTTTTATTTTTTTACATTGTTGTTTCCGAACTTCATGGCTTGAACAGTGTTTTTGTAAGCATTTCATATTTCGATTCTTAGCCTACTTTCTTAAAGTAGGCTTATGTGATCTGCATTCTGTCTGTGTGTCTGTGTATCACCCCTTATTAACTTTAGAATGCCTACATCAATCTTTATGAAAACATATAATGACAACTGAGCCAATATCAGCGGCGTAGATCATAAGCCCCTCCCATCAGTCTGTGTGTCTGTATGTGTGTTCTTCCTATGGTTGCAGGGCAACAGCTCGCTTAAATGTGCCCCTCCATTCGGTAGTAGGCAACCGCTCCATAAACACGTTCCCGTTGCAACCAGTACACGAAACAATAGAATAATTTTGGAAGCGCCATTTTCTATGGAGTCAGTGTCCTACCGAAGGAGAGTCTGTAGGTCTGTCTGTACATTCCCTTATCGTTGCTAGGTAACAACTCGTTAAAGATGTTCTCGCGGAAACGAAGAATTGTTGGAACTTCGCTTTCTATTCAGCCCCTGTCATATCAAAGGAAAGTAGTGGTTTAATTATTCTAGAACTTAAATTAGATTATCTTATAAAACTTTGACCATATAGATATTTTTACCGTTCTTAGGCCAAATACTAGAAATAGTTTCAAACTTTCCCGAAAAAAACTCACCAGGCGTCCAGCATTGTTATTGTGGAGTTTCACGAGCGTTTTTATGTCGCTTCTACGACGATACGGGGCGTCCATGAAGTCCTTTGATTTCCGATAACCAAAGTTCACGTTGTCGCCGCAACCGCCCCAGACCCAGTCTCCGTCCACTGCGGACGCTGCAGCTGTACCAGTGGCTGCGCTGTGGTCAGAGAAGGGACTCAACCGACTCCTGCCTGCAACATACCACATCCGGGGCGCACTCTGAGCACAGCCTCTAGCTACTGGATTTGCGGCGACAGCACAATTAAATGTTCTTCACTCACTCACATCACTACACCGTACTTGGGGCGCTGCACGTGATAAACTCTCTAGTTTTGTGGGATCCATATTTTGAAGGTCTTCAGAAATACTATGCCAGATCAGGACTGGATCTATGTGGATAAAGATTATGTCCAGCGGCGGGATCTAGCGAAACTTGTAATGAACCTTCGATCTTAAGAAATGTTATGGAACTTCATGTGTAACTAAACCGCCCTTAGAATCTGAAGACTGACTCTAGTGCACAGATTTCTTTAGTTATGAAATCCAAAGCGTGTCCTGTTCACTTAATCTTGGCATCCTGACCTGCAGCAATTCGATTCTAAACTTCCTGCACTTATTATTCAACATGTGCGTAGAAGTACAAATTTTAGACAAACACAACTTTAATTGTAATATATTTAGAAGGCAAATGAGAGGTTACATATTTCGGTGATTTTGAATCATCATTGTCAGGCCTTCATATTTTAAATGTGATGGGGAATTTGAATACGTGTTTTTTGTAAATATATTATGCATACTCATGCGGTAGTGTAGTTGATTGAGGCACTTTGCTACAAGCCGGAAGGTCGCAGGATCGAATCACGATGAGGAGGATTTTTTTTTCAATTTACCTAATCCGTCCAGCCGTAACATAGTCCCGGGGTTGACTCAGCCTCTAACACAAATGAGTACTGTTACAGGCTGAGTCGACTCCAGGGCCATAGTGCGGCTGGAAGGATTAGGTCAATTGAAAAAATCCAATAACCTCATCGGCCTTCCGGCTTGTATAATATCGCCTCAGCCAACTACTTATGAGGGAGTATAAATGTCATATACAGAGGGTTCTAAATTATTGTCGGGGTTTTCTGTGGCCTATAATCTAAAACCCCGACAATAATTTAGAATCATTCAGTACGATTAACTGTTTAAAGATTACGTATTGGGAGAGGTGCTGGGTTTCTATGAAAGAAACTCCTTAGAGATGTTTAGGAAATGAAAGTATAAGTACTTAATTTATACCGCCGTAAGGAGAGCTAAGCCGGTCACGGTAGCCGAGCGGTCTAAGGCATGCATTGTCTTCGCTCGCTCGGAAGCCGGGATCGTGGGTTCGAATCCCACTCAGGGCATGGATGTTTGTGTGCGTTTTTCTGTGTTTGTCTACAGGTAGAGGCCTTGCGACGAGCTGATCACTCGCCCAAGGAGTCCTACCGAATGTGTAAGATCTAGAAAAACCGAAGTGAACGAAGTTCATGGAGGTAGGCCTAGGCCCACTGGGGCTGTAGTGCCAAGGAAAAAAAAAAAAAAGGAGAGCTAAACTACGTCAGTTGTGATGTGTTGTATTGTTAATGTCCCTGTTTTGCTTGTCCCATTTATGTCATCTACTACTGGCCTACTGAGATTTTCATAAAATCCTTAATTCCCTATTCTGCCTTCAAATTTTTGCCCTCATTCGCCCTGAATCGTCTGTCAGAATTTTGAACCACTCATGCGCAGAAGTCACAAGCGAATCAGCCTGCAATTTACGTAAAAGATTTCCCACCTAATTACTTCCATGGGAGTAGGATCCTTGAGAAGCAAATATGCGTTGATCTGACAAAGAAAGGCATCACATTTCATGGAAACCAATGATTTATTACTATGAACACGAGAGTTATCCTAGTCCTTATTTTTGAGGGGGATGATTCCGGTCCAAAACTTCTTGACTTATTTTCTATAACACGATTTTCGTGTTATATTCCAATATAACCCTAGGTTATCTTACTAAATATATATATTTATCGTCTGTCCATGCGTGCTGCATACCCCAACCATCTCATCTTTCATTTGATCACCTTAAGAAGCCTGAAGAACAAAGATCCAAATGCTTATGAGGTGCAGTCATGAATCTTGCTGCTGACAATACACTGTGTCTGCGAAAGGACACCTCTAACAACTCATACATGTGACTTACGCTGAAGGTGATACAATACGTTTTGTGTGTGCCATGAATCCAACATGTCGTACCTTTAGTAGACTTTTCACAGCTGCACTCTATCAAATCTCCCATCGTGCAAGCTCGGGTCACAGCAAACGTGACACCTGCTGCCGTGATTGCGTTCACGAAGCCGGTCTCTCGGGTGTCTGTAACAAACAATCAAACGAGCATTTCATTAAAGCAAATAAAAGCCGTAAGATATCTCAAATACATGTTTGCTGCAAAATCTCGTTGTGTGACATGAGATAAAATTTATAATTACTCTAGTAGATTCAACATTCGATAGACTAATTTTGACTGATTTGTGGTTAGTTTAACGTTGCTTCTTCAATTTTCTAACTTGTATATCAACCAGCGGAAGGTACACTTATCAATGATGAATTGTAACTGATGTGGAAGGTCGTAAATTTATATAATTTGAAGCACTCATAGCAGTGGCTGGGATATAAAGCTGTGTGGGCCGAGAGTCACAGGATATTCCGGAGAAACATATCGCCTCCATCTTCAGGGTCAAGAAGAAAATCGATCAAGAAACCAGGCTGAAACAGGCTTCGCTTCCTGCCTGCTTCATGCTGATTTCTTCTTTGGCTTATTTGTTATTCTGAAGACGGAGGCGATATGTTCCTCCGAAATGTCGGTTGAATTTCACTTAGCTATACGGAGTTATATCGCAAAAGACAGAACTCTTCTCTCATAATTTGTTTGACGGGAATATTATCCCTGAATTTGACTGGAATATAATGGAAGGTAATTGAATTTCCGATGTAAATATCAAATAATAAATCAAAGAATTTGCTGGATAAGACTGCAAGGATTAGATCGATTATGAAGGAAATGTTTTCCCGATTGAAAATTTTTGCACAAATTACATAATTTCTATCAGTCGGAATAATAAAGCAAAATCATGCTTACAAACAACACAACATGAGTGCGAAAGAGGAAGATTCCTGTGGGATTCTGTAGCAGAAAAGAAAGGCCAAAAGTTTCCTCGTGTTTCAAAATTCAAATAAAGGAAGAACTGATACCTAGAGAGCAAAAATATCTTCCATAAGATGAAAGTAATTTAATTATTTGAACTGCCCAGTGCCTTTCGTGAGAAAGTGAGTTCTGAGGCTAGGGATGTTAGCAAGTTTTGCGCTATTTCCGAATTGTAGCCTTGCTTGTAGCCATGCTTCAACTTGCATGTTCATGTCACTCACGTTGCGTTCGGCTGCGCTTTCGCTTCTCCCTTCCTCACATAAATACTGAGAGTTATTATTATGGTCGTGGGAAAAAAATAGTTCTGGAGGCCTCGATGCATTTTCCGCACCCCCACCAATACGAATTATGATTATAATAATGTGCTTCTAACGTACTGTATATTACATATTCAGTATAGTTAAAGCATGTATGGTGTAGCATGTAAATTCGTTGCTAAGTAATGACTTTATAAACAACGTCCGTTCTTAGGCAACATATTCCTAACAAGCAACAATTGAACAGCAACAGAGAAACGATGTTCTCAATGCGATTCCTGCTGCAAGGTTATAAGCGGGAAAAGTCTAGAATTTAGTCAGTAATGAGACATTTGCCAGCAGGTAAAGACGTAAGCAGAGGACATTGTTAGGATCCGTTACCAGAAAACGGCTAGTGGAAACAAACTGAGAAGGCTTAATATGTGTTGTTCTCCTTGTAGTAATTCATAATTTGGGTCCTGCGTTGGTATAAGCCTTTCATATTGCTATCAGTGTCTCTCGTTTTTGTTTCTCTGCTACTAGTGTACACAAAGAAACGAAGTTCGCTTTGAGTACTTCGGTACTTTTCAGGAAACAATGTGTAAAATATAGAGTCATATTATATTTATTGTTAAATGTCGTGTTAGGAGAAGCTGTTCGCTGGATGATGGCAAAATGCAGGGTAGTAACTTTGCTGTTGACCTATGTAGTTTCAAGTATGAAATATGCGATATGTCAGTGGAAACGGGAGCTGGCTTGGGTGAATGGACGAGCGCTCAGCATTCTGCTGGAGTTGCTAAGCAACCGTAATGACTCTCCTGAACCGACGGCATTCCTGTTTCCTAATGGTTTCACTAATTCGGCTGTAGAGCTGATACTTCTCCTGTAACCATTCTAGTATTCTTCTCTTTTTCCAAAGAGAACAACCCGAATTTCATTTTCTTCAACACGTAAGTCAGATGGATTGCTTCGAAATAAGATTATCACATCTTATAAAATGTTTTCACAGAATTTTGCGACCTATTTTATGAAGATTTGTTTAAGGTAAATTAGTTCTCCAAATAGATGTCAGCTTGAATGCTTTTAATGACACCGTGTCAAGTACAGAGGTTACTGAGTGCCAAATTACATGAAAGGCTGACCATGTTCAGTGAACTTTTTGTCATTCGACATATGACTAAAATTTGTGTGAGAAGCTAGTCTTTCTTGCTCTTGAATGGGGATATTTATAATTGATAGAGACCCAGAAATATTAACAACAACGCTTTATATATTTCTTTTTATAATGATTCTTCCAGCCCATTCATGGCCCAGGCCTCTTATTCTGTTCCGTAATAATATTTTTTTTTTACAGACGGTAGGACTCCTTGGGCGAGTGATCAGCCCGTCGCAAGGCCGCTATCTAAACACAGAACAACACAAAAACAGAATAAACGCGAGCACGCGCGCTTCCATGTCTTGAGTGGGATTCGAACCCACGATCCAAGCGTTCGAGCGAGCGAAGACAGTTAATGCATTAGAAGGCGCGGCCTCTGTCACCAGCTACAACGCTTTATACACATAAAAAATCATAAGAGCATCGACAATTAAATATGCTTTACTCGTATAGCAAATATCTTGTGGGCTTCACTCAAATATCTCATACCTAGATTTAGATAACTAATAAATTAATCAGTCAACCAGCTATCTACAGCTTGGAAGTAGTGTCTTCTTAAGAAGCTAATCACAAAATATCCTGGGTTTCATGGAACCCGATGCTGAACATCATGTTGGCAGGAGCCGGCCGATGGATTTTATTCTCATCCACATGAATCCAGTTCACTTTCTTAAACCTCGTTTTTAGGGCCTTTTTTTAATACTAATTTCTCTTCTACGCCTATGTCTCTTAAATGTTGCCATAAATCGTCCATTCCTGCCTACAATATGTGAGAAATGACACATTTTCAAGTCTCTAGTACGATTTATATTCTACCTATACTCTTTCCATTGCTGGAAAACCTGACTGAAATAATTTTTCTTAGCTCGTTCAACTGTCAGTTTTTAATGCTCCACTAAAATCAAAATAATCAAAGCTCTGTATTTGTAACAGGTGAGAGTACACCGTTAATCTTGTACAGCAGAAATCTCGTAAAGAAAAATGTTTAACAGTTTCTTTCCTATATCAAAATAAACACATCTTTTCTCCATTACAACTGTTGATTGGCGAGATGACTTTGAAGAAATTTGTGTCGATCTTTTGGGAAGAAATTTATATAATAAGGAACTACATTATTTTTCCGTCTACAAATTATTTGTAGGTTGAACAAATCAAGGAAAATGAGATGGGTAAAGAATTCAGCACACTTGAGAATTATGTGAAATACGTACAAGAAATTATTCGAAACAAATCAAATTATTCGAAAGACTTGACGAAAAAAAAATTACTTACGAGACCGGAGAATAGGAGAAGCATAATATTGCGACAAATCTGCATTGTCCATTGCGTGATAATGACTCAATATATGTTTCCGCGGAAACAGATAGGCAAAAAATAATTGGCGATACATGCAGTGTTTTCCATGCGGTCAGTGCTGAATTTATATAACAAGATCACCAGCCTAGTCGACAGAGTGTAATGAGTTGAGAATCGACAGTTCAGTGAAGCAGTTACAAGTCAGTCACCAGCGAGGACAAGGAACTACTGAGCAAGGAAGCTGTAAAAGGAATTCGCCTTTGTCGAAGGCCGCTATCAAGTAACGGATGCATGACGGCATAGCAAACTCAGAAGACTTAGCATGTTGTAGTGTGTTGTAAAGTGTTTTTTTCAGTCGAACACCGGTCACTGTAAGGAACAAAGCACACAATATAAGACATAGGTTATATTTAAATTTAAATCACTTAAGGGTTCCTTGTACAAGTAAAGCAGTACACATTAAAGTAAATTATCCCTCTGATTTAATTAATTAATTAAACGCCATGGCATGAAGACGTATGTAGGAGTGGAGGTACAGCTCCTCATTCTTTATCTCGGCACTAGACCTACTCTTGAGTGCCCAGCTTCCCGCACTAACTGCGGGTTAGGTCGTGAGACAGAAAAATATGGTCATAAGTCCCACACAGCCGAAAGCTCAGAATGAATGTACTGGCGAAGACCAGCAGCAAACTACCAGACCAGACCAGACTAGTACTGGTAGTTTTATTCCCGGCGAAAGAGACCCCTCTCTCAACTCTTTAGGAGTGTGAGTGGGCCTTAAAGTCGATATGGACGCTGTGGAGAAGAGAAAATGTTCTTGCCCATGCAGATAATTGAAATCCTGCCGTCCAGCCAGTAGCGCATCACTATACTGACTGAGCTACCCCGATTCACTTTGCAGTGAAGATTTCTATTGTCAGTTACCTAGCAACGGGTCTCTACGTGTTACAGTACAATAAACTCAGATCAAGAACTTAGATGAAGTTAAGATCCTAAAAAAAACAACTAATTTTTAAATTGCGCATTGCCATAAATCCCATCTGCGAACAGGACTTAGTTACATGTATTTTTTCCCCTTGGCACGACAGCCCCAGTGGGCCTAGGCCTACTTCCATGAACTTTCCTGTTCACTTCGGTTTTTCTAGATCTTACACATTCCGTGGGACTCCTTGGGCGGGTGATCAGCTCGTCGCAAGGCCTCTACCTGTACACAAACACAGAAAAACGCACACACAGAAATTAACATCCATGCCCTGATTGGGATTCGAACCCACGAACCCGGCTTCCAAGCGAGCGAAGACAGTACATGCCTTAGACCGCTCGGCTACCGTGACCGGCCAATTACATGTATATCCTATAAAAATAATAATTTGCAAGGATCTCTTCCACAGTAGGGTAGCATTTTAAATGCACATAAAAGGATTGTTAAATGACTTAACCCCCATTCATTAGTGACTTGCTGAGGTTCAATCTAAGTCAA